TAACTTTCCGTTTTCTAAGCGGACAACCATTAAGAGTGTTATACCATATAGATGCTTGATGTGAGTCATGCAGTCGGGGAAAGTCGGTTCTTCTTTGAGTGTAGTTAGAAAGAAGAACCAGGAAAAATAGTTAACATTTCACTTCGAATAAATCACCGTTACTTTATAAATTGTCTCCTCCAGCGATTCTAAGAGTGAAAACATTAAGGACGTGCATTGAAAAGTGCAGTGTTTTTTATTTAGGCTACATTGATTGACTGAGAGCACTGGCAAGCTGCTAACACTCGAAGTGTTAGAAACATTTACGAGTCCTATTTGCAGATACAGAATTATCACTATGAATCACTAAACCTTTCACTCCTCCAATTTGTATTATTCGCAAGTTAAAGTTACGCTTATAATTACCAACGCATATCGTTCATTTTTTTCGTTTCTGTAACGTTTTTGACCTTTTTAGCCTATATCCAGGCTATAGGTACGTGTTGTTATTACTGGGATGGACTTTGATCGCCAAGATTGAAGGAACAGAATGAAATAAAACAGTGTTGTTAGTTTACCTTTTTGTACGTTCTAAATTCATAAGAAGTCCTTCCGGTTATATAATTATGTTCGTCTTCTACTTTCTTTGAATAATTCATCCGTAGAACTTGAAACTCGAAACACTTAAAAATGTAAAATAATGAGCGTTTGAAATGTAAACATTTCAACATACTTGAAAAACCGAACTTCGGAAAATTGAAAGACTGAAATATAGAATTTAAAATTGTAGGTTTAACCAAGAAATTTGACTTTGTAATACCCATCTGGTTGTCAAATATGACACTTGGTAATGTCGTGCAGGTACTTTAGAATGCAAAACGGGGTGCATTTAACGTCGTAAAAACACTGGACAGATCTCTATCTCTAAAATTGTCGACCGAAAATACGTTCGTTGAAAGTGGCTTTGAAGAGGACTCGAATCATTATTGCTCCGGCGTCCAGACTTGTCTCAAACCTTTACTTTCAATCGTTCAACACACTCTGCCGACATTAGTTTGTCGAAAGAGCATCACACTTCCTAGTTCATCATACGAGATAGTCCGGAACAATCATCAATGTTGGTTGTAGAGGTCATCTGCGGTTATTCGCATATTAAAGTGCATAGGTTGTCGAGAAACTAGAGTTTGTATACTTTCTTTATCACATTCTATTTTTCTGTGTTATAGCGTTCGTCTAATTTACGAGTGCTGGGTGGGAGGGATTTCATTATTCCTATTCGTGGCTGCGCGGCTGGCCGGTATAGAAGGCTGTAGGCGCAACGGCGCCGGTTGTTTTCTATGTACCCATACGTCATTTTTATCTAGCACGGTCGAATAATTCAAACGTGGAATGATTGAAGCAAGCGAGCGCATGCAATCCCCCGCGGAATTGCAGAAATTGCGCGACGGCCCGTCCACCATACGCGAACCGCAAATCGACGTTTAGGCGTCCCGTAGTGTCCGCCGATGAACGACAATAATTGCTATAACGAGACTCCGAAGTGTGACACGGTTGTGCACGTAATAAAAAAATAAAAAAAAGGGGAAGAAGAATTGTCCGATTGCGTAACATCGCAGAAAAAATGCTAAATGTCAACGTCCACGCGACAATTCCGCTGGATAGATGCTCGAGATAGATGCCCGATGATATCAACCCCAATGGAAACGGGGCGGCGATCGATTCACGCGATTAGGATTATCGAAGGCAGTTCCTGTTATGGAAACTTGCATTATTCTAATTATTCGTCGCGATTCCTATTTAGAAGTATCATACGGCATTTTTATAAATAGTTGATTACTTATTCGTTACTCGTTCATGGAATTTGCTAATTATTTTGTTATTATACTTACCCTCGCTGTATTTATCAGAATAGGTAGATTGTATGAATAAGTTGAGAATCGCTGTGTTAAATTATATAAGCTGCAAATGAAGCAAGCACGGAACTTTAGGCTATATCTTCATGAAGGTAATTTACTGTTAGTATTTATCATACTAAATATGCAAAAATGTAAAACACGTTGAAATGATAGTATCGGCTGTAATCCATCTAAGTGACCTACTGCATGCACGATCACGCGTTTCCGATGGTCTATTTCATAAATAATATGAGTCTATGATACTAATCTATAAGTGATAAAAAAAATTTTTTCTAAATATTCCCGACAAACAGAATGACATGTTTCTAATATTTTTTATTTCATATTTAAATTACATTTAATGTCCGACGAAAGAAAGCGAAACTCTGAGAAAGTAATAAAACTAATTGCCGGAAATCATGGGTGTGTGGCAACTAAGTTTTATCAATTTTAAAATCACAGTGTGACCCACATTTCGCTCGTAATGCGTTTGTATTATAGCAGTGATAAAATTCTCTTGACCCGATACTAACAAGTATCCAAACACTTATCGACGATGATGTGTAGATAGTGGAAATTGCATCGTGCTTTGAGGTAGCGTGATGAAGCGTTTCTTCAGACTGCAATGCAATGCGGAATATTAGTTCATTTCTAATGCGCTTTTTCAGAGCGTGTATTAGGTGCAAATGAAAATAACCGTTCGTTCTTTGAATAATACGCCTTGACTTTTCAGTGCTCTATTTTCGAAATAAGGGTCATGATTATATTGTTACTTTTATTAACAATTAATTTCAGTACCTATTCAATTTTACCTGTACTTGTGATACAACATTGCTTAAACATTAACCCCTTGCCCTATGATTTATTCCTTAATCGCGATTTATTCCTTAGTAACTACGTTATCGTTAATAATTTATTAACAGAAGAAATAATTTTAATGCTTATTCTATATTTACGTTTACTCCGAAGGTGAACGATTCATAAACAAGTGATATGTAACTTATATATTAAAAAAGAATTACACAATTATCAGTTTTAAAATACAACTGTACTACTAGCACTTCACATGGTTTAATTCTTAAAATGGGAATCAAAACGTTTTAAATTCTAGTTTACGTAGTCCTTATGACAAGATAAGTTTTCTGAATATTTTTTTCTATCTGAATTTATTCTTCGGGGACAAATAACTTCGTCATACTTAATTTTAAAGGTTGTTTTTACACTGTAAACGTGAGTTTGAATGGCTATAAAAAAATACGGGTTAAATATTTTTCAATGTTCCAGATTACATGAAATTCGATTGAAATTCCCGTGTTTGAATTAAATGTTCTTCGGAGGAAATGGCTGTATCACGGGTCGGATTAACGAGCGGCGAAATTATAGTATATAACAGAGCCGAACACGATACCTGTAACCCGCGACTTCAATCATTAAGCAAACACGAAACACCGACGCGGATTATTACAATATCGTTACGGTGATTGTGTTTTGTGATACACAAAGTAGTGTTCCATAATTGAAGTTAGCATTGACTAATCCGCGGTTACGAAATTAAGTGGAATCGTTATGGGTGATGCCGATGATACTCACCGCGCATGAGAGTACTTGTGTAGTTCCACTAGTGTTATCGGCATTGAGTTATAGGCGTAGTATTTCCAGCAATATGGCTATATAATACGTTTTGACTGTATTTAAGTAGGGTAAAACATGAAATATACTGTTTGGAAATTTGTTGAATTATTCGGAAATCAGTGAAAATATGTTTTCTCATCTTCCTTCTATTTCTTATCTCTTTTTTTCTGGAATTTTGAAGTTATTTATGAAATTAATTTTTTATAGCTCATCGGAGTCATTTTTTTGCTTGTCGGATTTAGTAATTGCGTTTTCTTATTTGTCAAAGTGCCAGAATGAAATTTCACTAACAATTGGCTAAGATATTGTAATTTCCAGTATTTTGTACGTTTACTATTTATGATATTTTTCCGATTTTGAATTCATTTGAGACTACTTTCACTTTTAAGTTCGATCACCGTTTAATCTTTCTTCGTTTAATGTAAATGTATGCATTTAGTACAGGTTCATTGAAATTCACACGCTGGTTACGAGAATTCTTGCTATTCCTTTTTAGTAGCACTTATATATATGTATATATATGTATGTATTATCGTGTTGTAAACTATTACGACAATTGTGTAATATCAAATGCTTGGAAGATTGCGTAGCGACGCTATTCAGAATGTTTCACCGTTCTAATGGAAATCAATATTTTCTTTTGAAATAGTTAGGCGTGTTCGGTGTTTGCTTGTTGTCACATTAATTTCCCAGTACACACAAATGATGACTTAATAGTTCGGTCAATGCTTATTCATCGGAGAATACAGAACACATTTTAATCACCTATTGCAAGATGAAGATTTTAAAATATCATAAGCCCACTGTTTCATTATTATCGATGTTTGATGTTCGTGATATTTAAACACAAACATAGAAGTTGTAAATGCTTTTTTTTCTCAGCTATTAGTAACGACAAAGTACAATTTCATAAGAAAATATACAATTTCACTACACGAAGAATATATTTCAAATATCTTTACCCAAACGATAGCTGAATTCCTTACTAAAAGAAATGTACATTTTCAGCATGCAAAAGATATATTTCAAATACATTTAACATTAGGTTTAGAAAAATTTACTGTACAGTTTATTCTATCGCTTCTAGAGGAGTTGATATTCGTACATTTAAATTTTAGAAATTAAAGGTTAAACAATTAGGATACACCCGTGTGATGGCATCAATCGAAAGTCGCTTGAACTTTTAGCAAATAATAGTTATAAAATTTAGTATTTGAGAAATCGACGAGTCCCGAACGCATTTCCACCGAAGTAACAGAAGAATTGGCTATCACCGCTTCGATGCATTTCGTCGTAACTGAAGCACCGTTTCTCCTGTTATCAGCGTGGAGCGCTTGCTGTAAACATGGGGCGACAGTAAACGTGGAATTCCTTCCTTTCCAGCGAATTATGAACGATAAAGCAGTACTCACGAGCGGAATTGCGAAAGATATCGTAAGCCGAGGGCTTAATTCCCTTTTATTCGTGTTCTAACGACCCGTTGTTGTTTCGCAGGGCGAAAGTCCGACGGTGCTGTTAACCGGAAATGGGGCGCCCATCGCTGAGAAGAAGGCCAGCTTAACGGTGGGCCCGCGCGGCCCGGTGCTGCTTCAAGATTTCGTCTACCTCGATGAGATATCACATTTCAACAGAGAAAGGATACCGGAGCGGGTGGTGCACGCGAAAGGAGCCGGTGGGTGGTTCGATTGTCACGTTCCCGTCGTAACGCATGATGTTTATCGTATACCGGAACGAGAAAGATTTCTTCGGTGTTTGAAGATTTTCCGGATCACGTAAAACGTCGATCGGTAAAACTTCTCGAATAGAAAGAATTTTCTATGTTACTATAAATTGTGGATGGGTACATACTGTGCACAGACGTTGTCTGTGCACATGTCCTGCGAACTGAAGAGGTAAATATGGCAAGGAGATACGTTCCGACCGTTTTTCTTATTGACTGATTCGTTTAACCTGTTATTTAATTTGAGAAATATCTCGTTTCGCGTGTAATAAAATGAAAAAAATGAAGTGTGTTCTCCTCAAACGTAGTTTCAGTTTATCTGAAAAAATAAATAACGCATCGTTGAAAGAATTAGTATCATTTCAAGTTTAAGATGGTGCGTATACTCGTCAAATGCAGTTAACTGATGAAACGATGACCGCAAATGAAACAGAACGACAAAGTGAGATATAAATAAGTACTGCACGCCTCTCACGTTTACTTCATCGACCATCAAACTTAAAGTGCACAGGGGCAAGGGGATTCTTCCAATCATGATGCTCGGGCTGTTTCGACTTTCGACGCATGCTCATTATTGGTGCACGACAATAACAAAGGACGGAAACAAGACCGAATGCGACTAAGTGGGATAGAACTATAAAGAATTTTGTTTTCTATCATTACGTTTCGCTTTATCGTATAGTAGTTAGGATTTATCGAAGAGAAATGACCTTTGTTATGTAGTAGGGATTACATTTAAATAATGTTTTATGCGCAGAAGGAAATAAGAAGAAATCGTTTTGTAAAGTTTTCCATGTTCATTGTGTAAATTGAAATTGATATCAGAGTTTGTTAAATTTGAAGAGGTTTACGCTTGATACAATATTTCAAAGGAACTGATATTTATTGAGAATAAACATGTCTGTGCTTAATACAAAATTTTGGAGAATACTCGAAATCAACAAGGAATTGATAAGAGATCTGAAAGGTTTTACCATTTTTTATGTTACGATTACCTATGGAAAAGTGGGTCAGTTGTGTACCTACTACGTTAAGGTCCGACAAAGCCATTAATTCTATTACAAATTCTCTTTCAGTGCCGACTAAATGAATTAAATATCAAACAGAATCGAATCGCTGATAATATTTGCCATTACGAAACAGTAACCACGAATTCATTTTATCTGAATCAATAAAATAGTGGAGCAACAAGATTGACAAATACAAGATTGACAAATAATGGCGTTTTGTAATCCTATAATTTCTATCATAAACACAAACTTTATTCGAGACAATGATATACAGTAAAATCCAATAACCACACATACTCAAGTGCACTTGTAGCGAATATTCAAAGTCAATTTTCCCGAAAACGAAGTCTCACATGAACAAATTTTATTCTATAATTTCGAATTACTTTTTTTACATAGAATCAGTCCCTATCCGATTGTACTACCACTTACATGATACCCCGTATATTTGAGTAATTGTATGAATCAAAATCGGCTCAAACATTTATCAAATAACGTTTATAAAATTCAATATAAGTCAAATTGACTCGTTGCGTAAATCTAGCGGTAACAAGCATTGCTTTTTATGCTCGCATTCTCTTCTAAGGTAATCGAAAAAAGGTTCACGACAAAGAGAAGTTTGTCGATCGATCGGTAAGAAAAGGCCCTCTAAAAATGGCACACGCGTCTGGGCAATACACATAAAACGTTTCCAATGTTCTCTCTATTTAGAATCCCCATAACCGCTTAGACACCAACCGTTACCTTTTCTCTTTTCGTTTGGTCACAGGTGCGTTCGGTTATTTCGAAGTCACCCACGACATCACAAAATATACCAAGGCGAAGGTGTTCTCCCGTATCGGGAAACGTACGCCTATCGCCGCAAGATTTTCCAGTGTGGGCGGAGAGTCTGGTTCAGCGGATACTGTCAGGTAATCGGAGATTTTTCCAAAGTCTACGTTATTAGTAGTATTTAAGAAAATGAATGTCGCGAGCTGAAATGCTTAACCCTTTTCAGACGAGACCGTAATTTTTATATTACTTTTAATACCAGATTTACCGACATTTATTCTATTATTCATAGTAAACGTGTCATTCACATAGATCGCGGAAATTAGAGCTTCAAGAACAGAGAATCACAACGCGCAGTTGCATAATTGCGTGAATCAAAATCGTCTTAAACTGTTACCAAATAATGTTTAAAAAATATTGAAAATCTTATCCGTCGGATTGACGGGCCCGCAAGTCTAGTGTTAATTTATATTGAAATTACGAATATGTAGACAAATGTTTCATATAGAAATGATGTGTCTGGAAATTTCAATAACTAAGTGATAGAAGTTTGAAAAGGGTTAAACCAAATAAATTGTTTTTTTTTTCTTAAGAAATATTATAAGAAGCATTACACTTTGGATATTTTATATATTTTTTCGTATTGTGCGTATTCTCTGAAAATCTCGTTGTAGCTCCAAATTTTTCACAAATATATAAAAATATATTTACTTAGACGAAAATACGTTCAAAACAAAGTTTGCCTTCGAAATTGATCTTCAAGAGGAACATTTGACATTTTTTCAAGAATTAAGACAGCATACATTGGCTGCACATTTATTCCTGTTCAATCGCCACGTGTATTCTAAAATAGCATTCATGTATTCATTTGTTTCCGTTCGCCGTTTGAAATATACATAAATTTAGTTATAAATATACAGAGAAACAATTTATAAACGAATGTAGAAAGTACCACAATTCGCTGCGGTAATTATTCTATTTGAATTCATACAGATTCAGAGCTGCACGGGTAAACGGAAAAATTGAAGTAATCAAGTGAACGATTTATTAAAAATCCCTAGAAACTAACCGTATTCTTCGCATTCGTACGTATAAAAAATTTATAGAATTCGCGGTTTAACACTAAACGTACCGACACTTTCTATATGCTTGTTCCTACTGTCACCAGTCGAATAAGTGATTATGAAATAAAGGTAAACAAGTTACATGATAAAGTTTTCTTAACGAAGACAGAATCGAACGGAAAGACAAAAGTTGTAAAACTGATTAACACTTTGGCTGCCACATCACCCAAATTCGAATGACACCATTAGGATGTATGAGATACAAGAAAGATAATAGAGTAATAGTTACGAAGAATCTTGACTTTCTAGTTTCGGCTTTATTAAGAAACCTGTTTCGATTGTGTAGGAATTGTGTAGATAAGTGTTTACTTAGTAGTTCAAGTATTAATCAGGCAATGCAATTTTCATGTCATACCGCCTAGCTTAAGAAACGCTGAGATAAACGGTTCGTCGAACGAATAAATAAATGTATCGGCGATTAATATAAAAGTAAGTTGTAATGCTTTCAGGGATCTGTATTAGTTCTTGTTACGATTTCATGGCACGGTTAAACTGGAGAACATAAATCCGGATAGACGCGTATGATAGCGGGTGGCGTTCTTTTTACGGGTTGTGTTTCAATTTTACGGCAGCAAAATAAATTCGGGCGTCGCGCGCGGGTGCTACCGTGCGCCAAATAATCAAACGCGGACATGTGGACAACTGACGAATGCAATTGCCATTTCGAATTGAGCCATCTGAAAGCTTGGCTCGATAAGTTTGAGGGACATCTGATTCCAGTCTGATGCATATTCATGCGGCGAGCGGCACACGCGTTGCAGGGAATCGCGATAAAATTGTTTACGACGATAAACCTGTTACAATATTTTATTTCGCGGCGGTTTTATCGTGCCATTTATTCTTGCTTATACGCTGGCATTTTCATATTCTATTTTTTTCCGTCGAAAAATTTACGGAATGTTTACACTAAAGTGTTTCTTTTATTTTTTTTGAACTCTCGAGATACGATGATGACTGAAAGACATATTACTGTCTTATCTACGGTCACGAAATTAGAATGTAGAAACTGTGAATACATAATACGGTTAAAAAGATTATGCTTAGAAAGTTTATGCATGAGATAACTTATATGATTGAGATATTAATTATAATAATTGCGTGAAAATAGATATTTGAAAGGCTGAAGATAAAAGTATTTGGCATGAAATTACCTTGAAGATATATTTATCTGGAAGAATACGAAATTGAAGGACTGACTGTTACAATTTATGTTTATTGATAAACTTGAAAGTAGTTTACACCTTGAATTGCATTATTATGCGTTCTTATGCAGAATTTCATGCTACATACAAATCCGAACAAAAATATTGGGCATTCTATTTGAAAAATTCAAGATCAGCTGTAGATCGTAATAAAAATTCAAAATACCAATAAAGCGATTACAACGCTGTATGTACTTTTAGAAACCATGCATTTTCTGTTTAACATTAAAACTGCCGAGCAGTTAAATTACCTTTTTGAAATTGTTCTATCGAAAGTCTGAAATTGCATCTATTGAGACTTGTTTTAATATACAATTGTGTTTGCATATTGCTGAATTAACTTCTCGCTAATTTCTCAGAAAATCATATTATCTTTTTAGTAGGTCATTTTGACCTGTCTGGTAGTTCTAGTGTTAACCCCTTGCCCTATGATTTCTTCCTCAACTATAATCGATACAACTACTTCGTCATTAACAATTTATTGAAAAAAAAACAGAGAAATCCTGGCATATTCTACGTCCACGTTTTTTCTAAAATATGATTGATAACGGAAGAATAATATTTCATTCTATCTCGAAAGAGTCTTTTGTCTGATCAAGATGCTTGTTAAATTCTGTTTCAAATCTTCACCACAAGACTGACACGTTATTATAAGGCAAGGGGTTAAAAAGCTTCCTACAGCGAATAACCTTCAAGTTATCGGGTGTTCGCATTACAAGTACTTACCCTGTACAGAATATTTCGTTCATAAGTCCGCAGACTCCTATTTGTTTCGCAGCAGATCGATATCTCGCGATAAAAAGCAACATTCTTCGCGGTTCGCTCGATCGGACGGGGGAAAGTGCCGGAAACGTTGTCCCCTGGCTCCGAATTAGCCGACTTAGTCGGTCGGAAACGCGAGGGAAAAACGAGGGGACGAGTGCTACCGAGCGCGTCGATCCCGCGCGGAAAAAGTTTCTTTTTCGAAACAAACATTTCCAATGAATCACGTGATTGCAAGGTTTTTGTCTCGCGTTGCGTTTTAACGGATTACTCGATCCGTCGTCCCGGCGACGCGACGTGCAATTGGACCCCGGGGCTCGCGACGCCGCCAAACATTGTTCATCGCGAAACAAGAGGATTCCTCTGAACGGAAAACACGGTATATGTGGCACGGTCTCGTTTGTCCCGCGATTAATTGTGTCACACTGGTTTCAGGGACCCGCGTGGTTTCGCGGTTAAATTTTACACCGAGGAGGGTATCTGGGACCTGGTTGGCAATAACACGCCCATCTTCTTCATTAAGGACCCGCTGTTCTTCCCCAGCTTCATTCACACGCAGAAGAGGAACCCTACTACTCATCTGAAGGTCTGATTTGAATTATTTCTTTATACATATTTCGTAGTTTCATTTATTCCTTCATAACGCACTTATGCGAAGACTGAACAGACACCACGTTTTTGATTTGCCTTAACGTTTTGCGTCTCAGGTCGATAAAGACACTTAACCTGTTAACTGTGGAATTTAATTTCAGCAGTCTCTGATAATGCTCGCAATGAAATCAAATAATGGAGTGTATTCTCGTCTAAATGTACCTATAATATATGCTAACGAAAGACTAAAGTAAAACGAAGAAGAGTTACATGTTTATCTCGAAAAAATAAATAATTTATCGTTGCAAGAATTAGTATCATTTTGATTCTAAGATGACGTGTATACTCCTCGAGCGCAGTTAGCTAGTTAAGGCCGGGGCCTGCGCAATTGGCATTGAAATGCAGAGGAATACAATGAATTTTATACTTTATTTGTAATTTTATACATGTTAGTTTAATAACATTTTCCGATGAAAAATAGTCGATTGATTGCAAATTACTTCAGTTATTGAGAAAAAGAAATTTATTTGTTGGCTTTTGTTGTACTACTTGATTCTTACATTTGATAATTTTGGTTACAGCTACTGTTAACACATTGCGCGCCGGCCCCGCGATAATGCGGGATTTTTAGTCTACCGTTTAATTGCTAATCCTATGTTCATGTAACATTTTAGATATATATATATATAACACAAATCCAAAGTAAAATTACAAAATCGAATTCCTTATTCCTTTTCGTAAGTTAGAAATTCCGGCTTGATTGATGTTTAAAAATATATTAGTATAATTACCGACACTCGCGTTTTTACTAGCTGAAATTTAGCCGGCGTACAATGTGTCAAATTTAATAGCAATCATACCGGGAATCGGTCAAATGACCGGATTTAAAGTTCTGCGTTTTTTTTTGTTCATTTAACTTTATATCAATTTCTATATGGTCTGATTAATCAGTTTTTCAAGTTTTTGAAATTTTGTCTGTTTTTGTTTCCACTGAAAAAAACGTATCATCAATTACCTTTATTTTGTAGCCAGTTATTTGATTGAAATAAGTAATCATAGTTCAAATTCGTCGTTTCACAGCGTATCTTTAGAAGATAAAAGGAATTAACATAGTAATAATTATTACGCTGATAGAAAGCATTTGATTACATTGCTTAACCGATTAAAGGTCTTCGGTATTGTATCCTGTCAATTAAAAGTTATATCATTTGATCGGTTCTTTTTTATACACTTATCTCAATAAAATACATTTCTTTTCATATCATCTCGGGATAAAAATTGTGCTCTGAAATGTGTACTTTTAAATATGTTAGTTTCTAGATTCTAAAATACTAATTCTATTTATGAATTATGCAATATTATTTCTTGTATCTGAAGTTTTTAGAGTTTCCTGTTTTCATAGTCACGCTGCATTTATTCATGTTTTTTTAATGAGTTGGCTACAACTGACTGCTCAAAACAATTTGTCCACCTGTTTAAATAAAAAACACTTAGTAGCTATAAACTATAGTGGAAACGGCTCATTAGAGTGCTTAAGTGGTTGATTTTGATTGATCTGCGACCACTATTCGTTTCTTCGTAACAAAACCGTACAAAACCTTGAATGCATAACTTTCTAAAGTTATTCTAACGTAGAAATATAATGAACTTGTTCCTACCTGAACCGTTGTATTACTTTAAACTTTCATAAATGTCGTAACACGTCGATTAATTTTTTCGATAATTTTTTTGTGAACACTAATTTTTGCAAGCTAATTCATTAAAATGAATATTATCGAATTATAACTAAAATTCAAAATTAATTGATACTTTACTTGAAACTATGCTTTAAACTTTACTTTAAAATATTATTTTAAACTTTTATTACGTTAAATTCATATTTATTTTGAACTTGTGCCATTCGAAACAATCGTATCGATTTTCACAGGACGCGGACATGTTCTGGGATTTCATTTCTTTAAGACCAGAGACGACACACCAGGTCATGTTCCTGTTTTCTGATCGCGGTATTCCAGACGGTCATCGTCACATGAACGGCTACGGTTCTCATACGTTCAAGCTGGTCAACGCCAACAACGAGATGGTCTACTGTAAATTCCACTACAAGGTATGCTGTTTGTTCGCTTGGTTTTTCTTTTACGATCTGGCGTTCTGTTCTTGATTTTTTAATTTGGAACTTGTATCAACATAACATTGAGCATTACTGTCGGTACATTATGTTTCCTGCAACTGTTTTCCACTCTCAATTGAAAACAATACGTGTTACAGAACTTTTTTCAACGGATTTCGCAAACTAGATGTCTGCTGTATCGCATGCTGGAATTAGATTTTCTCCTAAACGCTTACTTTTTAAGATAAATTAATAATTATTCGCAAAAATCGGTGCGTTTCAAGTGCCGTTTTGCCTTTCAGTATTGTTTAAACATGTTTAGATGTTTATAATGTCATTAAAATTTACATCATTCTGCCCAGGAAGATCCATAGAATAACACTGCGTAAAAAATGTTAGAAAAATATTCATAATTCAGATCACAATCAACAAATGTTCAAAGTTGAAAAATTTGAGCTTTTCTTTAAAATTGATTTTCTTAAAAATTGTGGGTGTTGAAGGAGAACAGATTGTATATTCGAATTCAGCATAAGAAATACTATTAAGATCACCCATTAAAGTTTTTGTACCAAACGAAAAGTTCAATTTTGTAGGTCATACGTCACACATAAACGATATTTATGTAAAATGCTTTGTTTGGTTTATTCGATATGTTTTAAAAATGTACAAATTATACAAATAACATATCACGTAAAACAATTGCAAGAAAGGCACGGTCTACACTAAGGGTATTTGTTCAAATTTCAAAGATTTTCGTATCTAAGCTAGTCTTTTTAAGTTGATCACATTGATTCGACAAAAACAACTAAATCGATCCAACGCTATGGATCAGGGGCTAGCCCCATCTTTTTCTTCATTGTTCAGCGAGCGCATTCAGTTATTATTTACTGCTGGTTACATGCATTTTTTGCATGTATTTTAACACATTGTTGACTGGTCACGAGTTAACTCGTTTTTGCACTTGCATTAACGAAATCAATGTTTGAAACGCAGGGCAATATAAAATATTGCAAAAGAAAAATATTCGAAGTTATATAAAAGGTATGTGTAAAGTTTAATTTCAATTCATTATGTATAAATAAAGTATATTGAAGTTTATTTAGATTGTCTCACTTTCATATTTAATTTTGGAATAATAATCAGTAACATAGGATAGCTTCTGTGTAAAATTGTCGGCCAACAATGTGTCAACGTTTCGAATTGTATTTCAAATCTTATTGTAGTTGCGAACGTGTTAAAAAGCAAGGGGTTAACGATGGCATTATTTTACAGACTGATCAAGGGATCAGGAACCTGCAGGTCGACAAGGCGGCGCAACTGGCTTCGTCCGATCCCGATTACTCTATAAGAGATCTCTACAATGCGATCGCTAGTGGCCGATGCCCGTCCTGGTCGTTCTACATTCAAGTTATGACTCCGAACCAGGCGAAATCCTTCAGATGGAATCCGTTCGACTTAACCAAGGTAACGATTAGATGATCGAGTTGCGATCCGTTAACGTCAGCCGGGAAACTGAATTCGCATACCGAAACGACAGCATTTAAATTTCATGCACATGCTACACGGAACCGGTAAAAATAAAAAGGAACGAACTAATACTTGATGGCCGACTTGATGAATTTTGCTTGCGGGTGCGTTCAGTTATCGGGAAAACCGTAATTAAGAATTTCTTGTTTCGCTCGCGGGCAACGAGTCCAGCTCTAGTTCGAATATGGGGTCTTAATTTGAATTTGAAATGAATATTCCATCGTGTCGGCGAATATTTGTAACGCGGCCGGCTGGTCGCGCGATTAATGTTTGTGAAATCTCTTGGTGAGCTTTAACTTCGCCTTTAACTTTCCTCGGCTTGATAAAGTTGAGGCAGAAAGAAAGATTTGTCATTCATGCATTCATGAAAGAATTTGCCACGCGTTGCATACTAATGATCAATTTATTTTTGCCACGAAGAATGGCTCGATGCGGGGTGAAGTTCGACATTTGATTTAACTCTTGCACGGCGGATGATGATTTTAAGCTGTAACAGAATTTTACATTGTACGTGGAGTTTAGAGAGGTTCTACCTTCAATTTTATGCGTAATGTTAATTATATATATTACTATTATGTGTACACATAATCAGTCTTTTAAATAATTAAACTCTTAAATGTAAATTATTAAACTTTGGCGGGACGGATCGTGTATATACCTTGAATATAATTTCTTTCGTGGCGGGAACTTTATTTAACTGGTTCACTTTTGCACAAAGTTTCCGGGTTCAGGAGTGATAACCATTATCGTTCTTTTCATTCGTAACAGAGATAGATGTTTTTAACCAGAGTTATTAATTATTCAACAGTATTCGTTTTACTTCGTCATTTTTTTTGCTATCATCAGTCATTTAGTATAATTATATTCTACTCGTTTTATTCTAATTTATTAGTTTTGACACATGCCAATATCTTTTCAGAAGAAACGGATAGATTGTTGTATTTAAGTCGATTAAATTATCATTTTAGTAAGATATTAACACGTTGACCACACTGGTCACCGATGACAGGAGCATCCAAATTACTTGAAAACAATTGCAAGAAGGAAACTGATGTATCAAAATATTTACTTACATTGAGAATTAATTTTAATACCGTTTGCGTTTGTGATCATACGATAAGTAATGTTACATGAAACATTAAATTCTCGTGGTGGTCAATGTGTTAACTAAATATTTATAAATGTAGAAACTATATGAATTATAATTTGAATTTCTATTTTCATTGAAATGGTAATTTAATTTTCGAACGGAATGGCGTCAGTGTTGAATGATTAAAGGAATTCCCGGTTCTAAATTGAACAGGTATGGCCGCACAAGGAATTCCCGCTCATCCCTGTTGGTAAGCTGGTGTTGGACCGAAATCCTGAAAATTACTTCGCTGACGTGGAGCAAATGGCCTTCGATCCAGCTCACATGGTACCCGGTATTGAACCGAGCCCTGACAAAATGCTACAGGGCCGTCTATTCGCTTACGGCGACACTCACAGGCATCGCCTTGGTCCGAATCATCTCCAATTGCCAGTGAACTGTCCATACAAAGTAATTTCTCAACTTTTGTTTCTTTGTTTCCCATTTGTAACGTGTTCAGTTTTACGAAAATCGAATTTTTACTCTATGAAACTTAAAAGATTAACGGGTTTCAACTCTCTGAGCCTTTACATCCATTTTCTAATTAGTTTGGTGACTTTTACTGTTTACATAAACGACAGAATAGGTAATGATAGTTTCTTATAACACTAAAACTACTGAGCAGTTACATTGACTTGTTGACATTTCTCTATAGAAACTCCAAGAGTGCATCTATTGAGACTTTAATTGATTCACAATTTAGTTTGCGTATTGCTAAATTACTTTTTTCATAATTTCTCAGAAACACATTTGTTATCTTTTTAAGAAATGCAATAAGGTGAAATCAAGCATGAGTCGTTTTGACCCATTGGTACTTTTAGTGTTAAAGTTTTATACCTATTTTTAGCAAATCAGAAAATTACAAATCATCAAAATATACAAATATTATACATGTATTAGGCTTAAATATAAATATACGGAACATATAGATAAATAGATAGATGTTGCTTCGTTTGTTCAAATTCCAACTCTGATAAATAATCTTTGATAAATAATAATAATTCATTTTTCAAGCCACATGTACAAAGGACATGTACAAGTATTTCCAAAATTGTATCCTATTGAATAAATAGTACATTATTCATTACATTATTACATACATTCTCCAATAACAAAGAATCTGTTTCGACAAACAAGTATTATTAGCTCTCATCTAAATAGTTAGCTATACAATAAACATAAAACTTCTCATGAAAAATAAAAATTATCTAAAAATCTTCTTCTGTCTTTTATGATCTCATTCAGCTATCCCTGCTCCTAAGAGAATTAATTAACCTTGGCGTTTTCTAGGCGATCGCGGCGATGAACTACCAACGCGACGGGCTGATGGCTCTGTACAACCAGGGCGGTGCACCGAATTACTACCCTAACAGCTTCAGCGGACCGAAAGAGTGTCCGGCAGTTCGTTCGCCGCCGTTCTACGTGAGCGGCGACGTAGACCGCTACGAGCCGGAGAACGAGGACGATTTCGGTCAGGTGACCACCTTCTGGAGAGAAGTTTTGGACGCGGACGCGAAGAATAGGTTGGTGAACAACATCGTATCCAACCTCCGCAACGCGTCCACGTTCATCGCCGAGAGAGCGGTGAAGAATTTCTCCGAAGTGGACGTGGAGCTCGGCAGAAGGTTAACCGAAGGTCTTCGCAAAGCTGGAGTGAGGATCAACGTATTCGGCAAGACCGCAAGCTTGTGAAGAGTAGGGTTATTCGGATTATTTCCTTTTTGTATTGTATCGTCGATAGATTTCTCACGTCTTGGAATTATCGCTGTCTCGTTTGACGAGCCAGCTTGCATACACCATGTAATTTTGTTAATATATTTCACATGAATAAATGGAATCATTATTTTCGTTAGTTGGCCGTTTCATTGTTTGTAGATTTTAGTTTAGTTTTTTAAGTTCTGATTATCTGGTGTGAAAAAGAGCATCATATGTTCCCTTGATTGTATACTTTCGAAATGGATGCTTTACGTAGGGTATATTGTGTGATATTCTTTCGTGTCGCTAATGAGTGGTTTTGAAGTTTTAAGAGAATTCTATAAAATATTTTGTAAGTATGTAATGTTTGAGAAAGTTTTTTATAGACTCTTTTATCGAAATTCTGTTAGGCGAAAGATATAATGGAAAGTATGTGTTAACACTGTTCGACGTGATTCTTCAAAGACCTTCAAAGTTCCACAAAATCGAAGCAATTTATTTAACCCCTTGTTCTACAATATCGTGTTAGACTCGTGGTGAAGATTTCAAATAGAATTTACCAAACATGAATATTATTCAATTTGTGTGAATGCGAATTACATATTATTCTTTTCTTATCAATGATTATACCTTAGAGCATACGTTGACATAAAATAAGACTGGAATTTTCTCTTATTTTCAATAAATTGTTAATAACAAAGTAGCTAGATCAATTACAGTTCAGACAGAAATCATATAGCAAGGGGTTAATTTGTTTGCACTTCACAGATCCTAATTAAGTTTAATTCACACAATAAATAGATTATTCGTGTATAATTCTAAAGGGAAAACTGTGTCCTTCATATGTGTATGTATAACTATTAATTAAGCTGTTAATTGTGATTATAGTATTCACATTCCACTGTTCTAAGGATTTTAATATTTTGGAGGTATTGAATTTATGTATAATTTCAAGTACTCGACTAATTTTAAATAGAATTCATTTGACTAATTATTTGAAGTAAATATTTATTCAAAGGGAAGAATTCAACGGTAAATAAACTTTTGTCACATATGAATATCTAATTTATCGAAATTGACTAATAAAAACCACGCAGACAAATTTACCACATTTCACGTTCTTCTGTTGCTCTTGTTGAATCTACTATTTCTTGAATGTTTTAACAAGTCCATGGAAATAACGGTTTTCGATTTCGACGCGTGAGTGCTGGCGCTCTTTTCACGGCCAACAAGAAGCACTGACTAAACGGAACACAACGAGGACTCGTTTCCCCTGTTGAACTTGTCGAACGGGAGAAAGACGGCCTGCGGTTGATGTCAGCAACCTTCCGGGTTATCTATCGGGAAAATCCATGTCTTGTCTACCGGTGAATCCCAGTCGCATTCAAATTCTATTTACAAACGAAGCGGAAAGGCGGGATTTCTCGTATTGTCTCAAGCATTATATGTAATCAAAGACTAATTGCTATTTTTATGATCGAAGTCTTGATTAACTTTCAAGAACCTGCAATTAGGTAATCCTGAATATCTTCTCATATTTCTAACCCTCTGTCCTACTTTTTATTTTACAATTGTGCTTGATAAAACTACTTCATCGTTTATAATTCAGTAGAAAGGGAGAGAAATTTGATGCTTATTCTGTGTTTACCTTTACTTTAAAGGTTAAATACTGGTAATAGACAAGTAATATTTGATTTATATGAAAAATAAAGAAATAACGTTTAGATTTGTTGAATTCGGTAGAAAATTTTCATTGTGAATCTGACTCATTATTATAGGAGAAGGGGTTAAGAAAGTTTCTAAATAAGTTTCACTGTACTGAGTCAAAGTTTATTTATATTTTTTCCATTTAACTCGTCATCTTTCTGTTCTTTTCTTGTGCACCCTATTTATTTATATTATTTATTCTTTCATTGCGACACAATCGCTATGTTAAAGAAAATTGAAGAAAAGTTTATTCAACTGTACACTTCATATTTTGCTTGGCATTTTTCTTTCACCATTCACTCTATTTACTTATTGATATTCTTTATTCTCGTGTCACAATACGTTCGTCGCATTGAAAAGGAACGAGATAACTTCTTAGCCAACCCAATGCAGTATTATTCAATTAAAACTTCTCCGTCTATTTTAAGAAGCAACTTCTCTTACATTTAGTGAAATCAAGTTAACAATACAGAAATGTAGTTCCAGATACGACTAAATGCTTTATTTCCCTGACACCTTTATCCAAGAACAATTTCTTTATTTTATTCATTGTCCATTATGCGTATCAACCATAAACAGATTGACAAAACTGTCAATCTCGAAATCTTATCATATCTCACTCTAAAATAGGTGAAATGAATTAAACATTCCAATTTTACGAGTATAAATTAAAAAACTAATAAAACTATCTATCTCTGTTGAAAATAAAAAACATCTGTTATTGTCTTTCATTTATATTCCAAAATTACAATAATTTACTAAGCTTTCCGGTTTCATTTAAAACAAAACAAAATGCTAGATGAATATTGTGACGATATATTAGTCATCTTTAGCATTGATACATTTAATCTCGTAAAGTCATAACATTATACACAGTGTATTCAAATATTAATGTGCGTATGTTTACAATATGTCAACGTAAATTGATATCGTTATTCACAAGTTGCGTCAACGACGGAAAAACCGGTCTCAAAAGTATCGGGGAAGAACTCGAGTTTTTATCGTTTCCCGTTGTCTCCTGCGCCACAAAGAAAGATGGTTGCATACGTCAGGCTCTGGACTGTTTGCATTCCCTCGTATAGGCGAAATGTATTGTAAATATACTTGCTGTGGGATTTACCCAGACGACAAGATCCGAAGATGAATTTGTATATAAAGCGTTTAAGACATCCGTTCAGCATCAGTTCATCCCAGTTCATTCTCGAAGAAGAACGGAAACCACAACGAGAGCCAAGATGGTGAAAATCTACGTCCTCGCCGCTTTTCTTTTCTTAGCTATAGCCGCTGTCATGGCTGCACCTGCACCTGGTAAACCTAATTCTCTGTTTTACTCGTTTAATCCATTTAAGAATAAATATTGGATCGAGTCATAAATAAAATCCGTTTTCAACGACAATTCATTCGTCGATAAAATATACTGCAATGAACTTTAATCAATAATGTATATTTACTGTCATTATTAATAAATTTTTGCCATTTTTGAGGCAACAGAAGTTCGTATAAAATGTAACTTGGCTGTTGTTGGTACAATTGTACTCTACTTCAAGTGGAAGTTATTTAATATTATTATATTAAATGTGGTAAATATGATTATACTTATAAGTTATGTTTTTCAATCTACAGTCTGTAAACATGTAAAAATTTGGTAGTGATCAACAATTTTCTCTTGACAATTTATACGTGTTTTACAATTAACCGATTATCTGATGTATTGATCGATCCTCGCATTTCGATTATTTCATGATTTTCGATAATCAATTTTTAATGAATTTTACAAATGTCAATAAATTAATATATATTTTCAACCGAATGTTTTAGAAGAGTTCGAGCCCCTTGAATACGTCCACCCGGTCGAAGAGCGTGCTGATAGACAGAGAAGAGTGACCTGCGATCTCCTCTCAATCAAAGGAATCGCTGAGCACTCCGCTTGCGCTGCCAACTGTCTCAGCATGGGTAAAGCTGGTGGACGCTGCGAAAACGGAGTCTGCCTCTGCCGCAAGTACGTAATTTCTTAAACTTTGACCTGTTGATAATGCTGACGCTTTTAAATTTTTCATTGAATTGCTTCGCGTTAATAAACAACAGGGAATCATTTTGTATCTCGCCTAGGTACAGCTTGATTAGTATCACGCCAGTATTGTACTCAGAAAGAAATAAAATTTTTAATTGAGAATAACAATAAATTCATTTGTACATGCTATATAAAACTATATTCTATTAGTATTTCGCTGTAACTTTGGTTTGTTATTATTCTTAAAATAATTTTAGAGGTTCTAGTGTTAGGAAATGTAATTATTTGAAAATCTTTTAATCTTTGAAAAATTTCTTTTTAATCAAGAAATTTTTATTATACGGATAGGGAATCATTTTCTCGAGGGATCTTGGATGATACGACGACTGGTATTAGAAATTCAAAGAATTATCGACATTGATCGTGCTCGCACTGAACGGCTTGCTTTTATGTCAATAAATTGCAGCGTATTATATCGTTCATCTCCTTTCAGGACTACCTTTAAAGAGCTCTGGGATCAGCGATTCGGTTGAGTCGAACTCATCTCGTGAACACCAAGGCTCGGCGGAATTTTTCTGCGTAACACGATAAAGACTGGTGACGATCTTCATGAAACATCATGAATTAGAAGACACGTTCCCTTTGTGTCATAACAATGGATCCTCGCGTATTAAAAATTCTGTGGACCTTGGAATTACGCTCTGCTTAACTATACGACGTTATATTGCCTGCATTTAACATACCTCAAATAAAACCATATGTACCATAAGTAAATTATATCATATTTAAGAAAATTCGAATAAATAGAGTTGAAAATTCTTCTGAAACTTTATTTCTGAACGATTATCCTTCATCCTTCTTCTTCCGCTGTTGCTTAATATATTTAAGTCGGATATATTTTTTAAATTACAGTTTATTCATTATGAACAATTATATATTTCAATTAATAATAACTTACAATAGTTTATAACTAAAAGGTAGTAATAAGTGAAAAAATAATAAATTGCGATTTTCCTGATCTTTTATACCTACAGAGTGATTTAAATCTATTTAAGAAATTATTATTATAATAAACTATTTTTAAAAAAGGTAGATGTTGTCGGATGTTTTTTAATCATTGGCGTTAGTTTTTAACCTTTGTCCAATTAATTTCTAATCGGTATGAATCTATTATCTTAAAATATTTGTCTTTTTCGATGCAGTGATAATAGATAAAATTTGATGATACATGACATGAAAATATTATTTTAGTTGTTAGTTAAGTAAACATTTCTTCGAATGTTTGTAACATTTCGAAATTTAAAGTATATTTAAAACATGTAAATATTTGTTGTTGAATTTTTAATACAAATTCCAGTGTGAGTCATAATTTATTTTTATTTGTATTATCGTGGATCGTGATTGATAAAGCTATTAGAGGAAATATGATACTGTATGTAGAGCGCACCAAATTACGAGAAATTACTAGAAATTATTGATCAAATAATAATTGAATAATTAATTAATTGATTGAATAATTAATTAATTATCCTTTTCTCAATGTTTAAAGGACTGGTCAAGTGATTTCTCATATTTATTTTTCTTATACAGGTAGATATAAAATGTTTAAAAATAATAAAGAAAAATTATTCAATTTAGATGATAAATTGATAACATTATGAATTTTTCATTTCTAAAAGATACTTGTTTAATGAATATACTATCTATTAGAAATAATAGAATATATATATATATATATATAAAATATATATATAAAATATCTATTAGAAATAATATTGGGACATTTAGATATTAATTGCGAAACATATAACTTTAAATAATTTCAATTTTGTTTTTCTGACTAATAACGATTCTGTAATTCATGATAAATTTAACTTACTGTGATATAATATAAGATAAGCGAAAAAATTCCATGTGCAGCACTTGAGTACTTACCTAATCTTCCATCAGGAAAATACAATCCTATTTTAAAAATAATGTTGCCCCGCCATTCGTCAAAAAATCCATATATAAAGACCACAAGGCAGGTTAAGACACTGAATAGTGAACTACGATTCAATCTGCAGAAAATGAAGGCTTCAATTCTTTTTGCTTTCTTTTGCTTGGCTGTAGTCGCCGTTATGACTACATCCGCTGAAAAAGCTGAAGGTAAGTAATTTTCATCAGAATTGTTAATATTTTCAAAGTGGTCATTTTTGTTGCCATTAGTGCACCTATATTTATTATCATTTATAAAAGGCGTGACTGTTATAAAATTCTTGATTGTTTATGCAGAAATTGTTATTGATATTTATCAGATTATTGATTGTTTATTATTTTCTTTTTCAATTTGCAAACTTAAAAATGTTTCACCAATTGCGAGTACTTTCTGGTTTAAAATGATTATAAGTATTGCATTTTAAAAGCCATAATACTTTATCTCCTCATTAGGTAATTAGCTTTCTACGATGAAACCCTCATTAAGAAGAAGAGAAGCCTTTTTTATTAAAAGCAGCATAGTAAAACCGTCTGAAGCGAAAACTGTAATAAACGCAAATTAATACCTTCAATCTTATAACCTATTGATAGCAGTCTTATTAAATTGAAGAATTATTGGGTGAACAAATTAGTTCGTTGCATTTTGAAATAAATTTGTTTACAAAAGTGCAACATTCGATTCTTTAAATATTCATTATTATTTATGAAAACTTAATTTCTTCCTCGAGGGAAAAATGGAAAATTCGAAACGACGAAACAATATTCATTTGAAACTGTGCTTTCAGTTAATCAAGTAAAAACTCATCAAATTAATTTCTTGCTCAATATATAAGACTACAAAGATTCATTCATATTTTTTCCATTAAAACATTCATTCAATAAGAGATTCCAAAGGTTTCAATGTCAGTGTATATACAACAAAAACTTTTTTTAATAAAAATGATAATATTAGAATTTAATATATTATATTAAAACATTCATTAAATAC